TAAAACCAATTCAAATACAACCAATAAAATGACAGTTAACCTGATTACTACGTATACTTATGCAAATACTACGGAATACACGCTTGAAATAATAACTGCATATTTTAATATTTTAACAAAGCGCGACACATATTCAAAAACATACATTTGACAATTATCACGAAACATTTATATATTACCAGTTGTTGGAAAACAACTTCAGTCATTTCTTGCATGTGGTAATGCAGTATTGAAAACGGTCATCATCTGGTGTGGAAAATAAGTTAATAATAACAGTGGCAATGAGGGCAATAAGAAATAAGTTGACATACAGCAATAGAAACAGATACGATAAAACGTAAAAAGATACTATGTTTAAAACTAAACACCACATTTAGAACGACAGCAATAGAAACAGACACAACTATGGCTGAAACCAAACACCACAATGCCAAATCTTTGCTTCTTGAATTCAGACAAGTCTCGTTGCCGGTGGTTACAGCACCTCTTTCGCTTGCCTAAAGTTGAAATATTCGTTTCCATCTCATGTTTAACAATTCTCATGTCCTATTCATGTCCTGCGAGATAGTCGAAATCGGAAATGGACTTTAGTACCATGCAAGAACGTCATGAAGCGATTTATTAATGAATTGAAGTATCTTGCGGTCATTATAAACACATAAAGAAGTGAAATACACTAGGAACTATGTCAGCCAATGCAAAATGCTTGAATCTCAGTTATTGTCAGCTACTAACCAGGGAAATGTCAATGCGTGATCTTCACTGTATATATGATTACCAACTGTTTCAATCAATATTACAAATATCTATGTTGATAATCGAGACTGATTATTCGCTGGCGTTTACGTGTTGTATTTTCTCTCAATGGGATATAACACACATGCAATAAGCAACACTAATTTTAATGTTGACATGTGGTATGTGTAAAACGATCCATTCTATGCAGCAAATGTCGACACAAACAATCACTGCAGAAATTAAATATCCACAAATAGACATGTGCCACACGGTACATAGTTTGGTTTAAAAACAGCTGAATCACACATTCCATGTCGCCTTTCAAGCCATTGAGTTTGGGATGTTCATGTGTAGATCTCCAGTTGGTATTCTTCCACAGAACCAGATCTGAGACGACGGAGGATCGGCTGTCAAGTTGAATGAGTTGACTGATTGTATGTCCTTGTGTCTGGCACAGACTTGGATATTTAAAGACCCCTGTGAATTAGCTTGAATAATGATGACGATGAGACAAATAAGCTCATTCACCCATCCTCAAGCTGTATCATCATCAACATGATTTTTGGCTGTGAAATTGTATACGTGCCATTCTTTAACGATTGATTTTGGTATTACAAAAAGTATTGCGTCAGACCAGGCACACGTCAAGTCTCCAGAAAATGATTTGAAAACATTGAATAGTTCACGTTCAATTTCATTTACATACCTAATCATAAATATGTAAACGTTAGAACAGGCAAAGGCAAATGAACCGGCTTTGTTCCATTTTATGTGCTCAAGCTTTGTATCAGTATAGTTCGTTGGTGTCTCTTTCAGCGTAAATCCAGCTTGGCTTTCCTTTATTAGATACTTCTGCGTTATGCTGAGGGTCGGAATATACACGGCCATTCCAAAGATCCTGTTGCAGACGAATAAATAAGAAGATGGCTTGAGTCTATAGTTTCTGAAAAATATAAGTGTAATCTAACAAGTGTATAGATAAGTTTTGATAGACGTATCGCTGCGATCGCTTAATGAAATGGGGCATGGATATGAAAGTAACAGTTTAAATTAAAACATGTTGCTTTCAACACAGATATTAAAACATTTTCTGCCTAAAAACTGAGGACTAAAAACTAACACTTCATAGGTTTGAAAAGACTATAATTCCTCACATCCCTATGGGTGAAAAACAATTGTGCGAGTCAATTAAAGGTCAGTGATTGGCTACATTTTTCTGACTGTCATTTTTGTTCTTGTGCTTTCGTAGGACAGAATCATGCCCCTTGAGATTGTTGTTCGCCTAATTGTTATTATCAACGAAACAGACACAGGGCAGGTTATATCCGTTGTATCTCCCTTGGAACATATAAAATGTTCAATATTCGTATTTATACTGGAGAGATACGACAATTTTCAAGCCGAAATACCAGACACGGTAATATTAGTGCCCCGTAATTTGATCGCTGAACTGATAAAGGATGGTACTGAGCAACTATATGAGCATTCTGATATTGATAAATTTGTTCATTACAATCAAACAAAACGTACTACATAACACAATGCACACCATGAAACGTTTGCAGGGTTCATAAGTGCAAATGATGACACTCGTCCTCTCGAATCCACCAGTAGAGCTTGGATCCAAAAAGAAGTGTGCATACACTGTCATAATTTCAAGAAGGGAGATGGTAGCAATTACAAACCCTCTTCATTTCATGGTATGTTTTGTTCAGCTTTGACAGATATCTGCAGTCAAAGTACGGGTATCCTCGACAATGATTGTGCATTTGAAAAGCTCAACAATCAAGTATTCAAAACCAAACAAAGAGTTCGAAAGAGAGAAGGTGCAAGTAACCTACCTCGCCATGCTGAATCTCTTGCGAACAATGACATAAATAAACTATTATATCAGCTGTGTTGTAGATGATCAGATCTATTGGGTTCTAATGGTTTGTGTAAGATGGTGGCGCACTTAAGAGCTCGAAATTTGCATTTTGTAGCCAATGTCACTAATATCGGGTAAAACCACCCCTGTTGTAAGACATGCACGAATTCTTCGAGGCATGCTTCTGATGAGTCGACCAATGTCAGCTTGACTCATGTTGTTCACTCATCAGTGAGAGAAACACTGTGTTCATTGAGAGTGCTGGGTCAATTTTGAAGAAGACGTACACGTCTGCAAATGACGTCCCAGAAGTGTTCAAGGGGGGGTGGGGGGGGGGGGGGGAGGTTAGGACCGAATGCTGCCCATGGCAGGCCATAGATCTTTTGGGGGAATTTGATCACAATGCTGGGATGATGGGCACCTGCATTATCATCTTGAAAGATGCAACGTTGCCCAACATTTGTGGAAATGGCGCAATGATGTTGTCCCGATAGTATTGACGTTTGATTCTGCCATGGATAATATGGAACGCAGTTCGGCCTTCCATTGTCATATCACCCCTTACCATAATAGACCCACCCCCAGTAAAACTTTAACGTCCATAAGACGTTCATGAGGAGTCTCCAAACTCAATTCCTTCGGTCATGGAAGTCGAAAGTGAACCTGGGTTCAGCACGTTGCAAACGTCGCATGAACATGATTTAATGTATTTAATAAAGTGTCCTTGTGCATTTGGTTCCAAGGCAATATGTACCTGTTCACATCTGAGCCTGTGTGACAATGTTAACATGCTGTCCGAGGTCACGTGCTTAATGGTTGTCACATTGAGTGTTTGGGAGTTTGAGTTCTTCGGAAATATTCTTGCCACACAAATCACTTACTTTCAATGTGTTTTACCTCTAAACCAAATATCCTTTACTGCATGGTATATATATTCACAGAAAATATTTGAGGCAAGTGGAATTGATACCATGTGGACTCTCAAAACCTTTCGAAACATTTCAGAAACAAACTGTCAATACCTTTCAGTTTTTCAACTAAGTACACTGTAATGTGTCACTACACGTGACAGCCATAGATAATGTATCTGGCGTAAAATGTTCAGGATAATTTGTCACAGGATGAAAGCTAATGTCATTTAGATCTTACTGAGAAAACAAGAAATGCTGGATATTTTGATTTATGCATAAAGATTCAGAGTCACAAAACAAGACAGTATGACAAGGGGGATGACTTCAACTTTCCAATAGGCAATTGTACCTGTATACTGAGCAATATTCAAGCAGCTCTAGCCTTTGGTGTCCACTTTTAACAACTGTTTAGATTCGATCGGAAACTCATCTTCCCGAGGCAAGGGTGTTAACGGAAACCGGACTTTTAAAGTCAGTTAACTCCCTTGTTACGGGTAGATGTCGAACACTTCAAAGAGCATCGTTCGCTATTTGCACATAATTTTAGCTCATTGGCCAAAGCTCATTCAAGGACTCTTTCGTAAATCTTGGGTAAAAGGAGAGTATTTTCACATTTGAAGCATCAGTGACAATCTGATTTTAATTAGTTGAGTATAAACAATGCACATACCTAAGTACTGATCCTTGAGAATCCAGTTCCTCAACCAGTTCAATTGGACTCTTTTCTTGTGTACAAGTGAAGCAGTTGAAACAAGAATGTACATGTACGAGTACCTAATTACAGACCCGTTAAGATCCTTTTTATCTGAAGCCACTTCAGTTGGCCACGGGGTCAGGTACACGGTTGGTTGGTTTGTTGTTTAACGCCGCACTCAGCAATATTTCAGCTATATGACGGCGGTCTGTAAATAATCGAGTCTGGACCAGGCAATCCAGTGATTAACATCATGAGCATCGATCCACGCAATTGGGATCGATGACATGCATCAACCAAGTCAGCGAGCCTGACCACCCGATCCCGTTAGTCGCCTTTTACGACAAGCATAGTCGCCTTTTACGGCAAGCATGGGTTGCTAAAGACCTATTCTACCCCGGATCTTCACGGGTCCTGGTACACGGACAGAAGTAGCAACAGGAATGTAATACCTAGTTACTGACCCTTAAGATCCTTTTCTAAAACCAATTCAGTTGGTCTCTAGTTTGGTTCATGAAAAGAAGTAGAAACAAAAATGTACATACCCTTCAATTACTGACCCTTCCTTCTCAACAATCAGTGCAATTGGTCTTTTGTCGGTTTCAAGGAAAGCACGTAAATGCAGTTTCCTAGTTGAACTCACTCCAAACTGATAGATGCATAACATATTGCTATCTTTCATACACTGTCCGGTGTCAAGTGTTGTCCACCATATTTTTACTGTGGATTGACTGGAGGGGGTTATAAGTCTCGTGGTAGACTGTTTCTCATGTTTATTTGTTTGTAGTATGTAAGTTTCAATAACTTCACTGCTACCCAAATCAGTAAGACCATAGAAGGTATTAGCAATTGTTGGGCTCCAAGTGAAAGATAATACTCGATGTTTCCGAAACTCCTGAGTTGAGATTGTTTTCCAATTCTTTTCGAAATCTGTAACAAAAAGTGTTTAACTTGTGTCAGGATTCTAGTAGACCTAGAATTTCTTAATTTGTATAAAACCAAAAGATTTTCACCTCAATTATTTAAATATATTTCTTTTCTTTGTCCATGTAAAGATTATTAATGCAATATATATGTTTAACCGTGTGCTTAAGGAGTAAGGAATATTATATATTATAGCTGCAATTTCACACAGAACCTACAATCACACAAGCAACAAAACATTACCTCTCATTGTTATGTGAAGTGACTTTGGTTGAGCTGAAGTTACTTCCTTCTTTGGTAGTTTTCTGTGTACACCTGAACATATAAGCGACAAAACCCTTTTCATAATCATGAGACATTTCTTCCAAAAGAATGTTATTATTCTTATCAAACCAAACGCGCAAACACATCTGTCTGTAAGTGAGCTAAATACACAGCTTTTGTTCCCAATACTGGATATTTACCATCCTAAAACACACAAAAGCCTAATGTTGCCACTTTGGTAACAGAATTTAGTTAATAGTATCATTTCGTTATTTCAGTTATTTTAACGTTATTTCAATTATTTCGAGCATTTTTCTCGTTAATTCGATTAATTTGTCGAAATTTCAAATATTTTTTCGTTACTTCAAGTTTATAACATACAATCGAAATTACGAGTTTTTTTCTAATTACTTCCATTATTTTCTGGTTATTGAACTTATTTTTTGAATAAAATTGAAATAACGAAAAAACAATAGATTTACGAAAACATAACAGAAATAACGAGAAAACAGTGGAAATTCCAAAAGCATAATCAAATCATTTAAGTAACGAGAAATTCTAAATAAATTAAATAAAAGTATGCTACCAAAGTGGTATAAGACATTCGTTAAAACACACAGGCGTGATAACTGCTTTATCATATAATGTCATTCTTATATTCTAAAATCGCAGAGGAACACTTCTGCCTTGCGACGGCGGCCTGTAAACAAACCAGACAATCAAGTGGCCGATGGACCCGAACATCCAGTGATTTTGTAACGTAATATAAATCAATAAACAAAGGTCACATTCATTGCCGTATATGTCGTTTTTAGATTAACATGAGAGCTCTTCGAAAGGTTTTGTGCAGTATGTTTCACCTGTAAAGTTAGATTTGAATACAGGATCAGTTATTTAAACAGGACAAGTTTTGCCATTTTTTAGCCACATGAGTGAGTGAGTGAGTGAGTATGGTTTTACGCCGCTTTTAGCAATATTCCAGCAATATCACGGCGGGGGACACCAGAAATGGGCTTCACACATTGTACCCATGTCGGGAATCGAACCCGGGTCTTCGGCGTGACGATCGAACGTTTTAACCACTAGGCTACCCGACCGCCCCTTTTAGCCACATGAAGAAATATTGCATGGAGATGGGTTTGTAGGAAACATGTCCTCCAATTTTACTAAACATTGTTTAATTTTGTTCGTAAATGAATCTTCGTTGTTATCCCCCACCACAAAGTGGGACGGGGCATATTGGAACGGAGTTCGTCTGTCTGTCTGTCTGTCCGTCTGTCCTTCCGTCCGTCCGGTTCTCCAAGGGGATAAATTTTCTCAAAAACTATTTAAGTCAGAGAATTGAAATATTGCACACTGGTGTTTCTGGTCATGATTTCAAATGAATTCGAAAATTGATGTCGTAAATTCAATTTTTACAGAGTTATGTCCCTTGCTCCGTGATTTTCAACTTAGTTCATACCACGTGAAATTCGGACAAGTGTTCTCAGAAACTACTGAAGTTATATGAATTAAAGTCTGCATGCTTATCTAAGAGATACTTGTCAAGACCGAGTTCGAAAATTGGTCCTGTAAATTATTTTTTACGGACTTCGGTCCATGTTGTTTGTGCAATGGGGGCAAGTTTTCTCAGAAACAACTGAAGATAGCTTATCTACATCCATCGAATGCCATGACCACCAACGAACCCAGACCTTTCTACCGTTGAACACGTCTGGGATGCGGGGTTAAACGAAACTCTTTGTCAGTTCTGACTAATGATAGTAATAAATGCCCTCAAATGATAAATTATTTCTTTGGACAACATAAGTACGACATCTGATGACCACAAACGATGTAATGTGACGTCGTTCCAATAATAGACTAACTTACAGATGTCTCCCCTTGCGATCGGGAAATTCTTATACATGTTTTCAGAAAAGATGACTATGGCTAATTAACAGAATAACGTACACGCAACTCATAATAACGGATTGCCTGTCCCTAGAGAAATAACGTTGCCCTGGTCTCGCCAAGGCCCGGTACTTAAAAGACGGATTCACTCGGGAGAGGTATTCGATAAGTCCTCGTAACTTATATGATATTCGCTATTTTATCGGGATATATATTTGGCTGTAGGCGTCGAAATACTGGAACGGTAGTAGAGCGTAAGACATGAGGCAAATCTCTACCAGGCTATTATCTATACTACACACCATCATGGACACACTTTGTTTCGCCACTTCGAGACTTTACACATGTGCTTCTTGGTGGACACTCTGAGCAAGAACCCTGCGCCTGAAATGAAGAAGACTATAGAAGGAGAGAATAATTAAAGGAGAAGGAGAGAATTATTAAATAAATGCTTTGTAAAATGAATGGGACTCCGTGCCGCAATCGCATTGGTGGCACAACGTCGTTGTGATTGGATAGAGAAAGTCTTTCGGACCTTCACTGAGTATGAGGATTTTTCTGGTTTCGAATCTTTTTTCCTCACCCACAAATTTGAGAAAGACGTACCATTCGTCTTTGCGAAATGAATACAACACTAATACACCTCTTATACTAAATGCGGTCAATAGTTATCAGAACAACTTCGATTTAGTTGCCTTTGTCCACATTCTGCTAAAGAGGCGGGGTCACGAAAGTATATGATGACATCAGTTGTATCATGGTGTTGGAATAGTGATGGAATGGTGTTGGAATAGTGATGGAATGGTGTTGAAATTGTGTTGAAATAGTGTTGTATTAGTGTTGGAATAGTGTCGGAAAAGCAATGGAATGGTGTTGAGCTAGTATTGGAATAGTGATGGAATGGTGTTGGAATAGTGATGGAATGGTGTTGGAATAGTGTTGAAATTGGGTCGGAATAGTGATGGAATGGTGTTTGAATAGTGTCGGAATAGTGATGGAATGGCGTCAGAATAGTAATGGAATGGTGATGGAATAGTGATGGAATGGTGTTGAAATTGTGTCGGAATAGTGTTGGAATAGTGTCGGAATAGTGATGGAATGGCGTCGGAATAGTAATGGAATGGTGTTGAGCTAGTATTGGAATAGTAATGGAATAGTGTTGGAATAGTGATGGAATGGTGTTGGAATAGTGTTGAAATTGTGTTTGAATAGTGTTTGAATAGTGTTGGAATAGTGATGGAATGTCGTCGGAATAGTAATGGAATGGTGTTGAGCTAGTATTGGAATAGTGATGAAAAAGTGTTGTATTAGTGTTGGAATAGTGCTGGAATGGTGCTGGAATAGTGATGAAAAGGTGTTTAACCTTTAGCCTGCTGAATTATTTTCACACTTCTTACCCCTGCCTGCTGGATTAATTTTAGCATATGGCGCTCTAAAGAGGGTGGGTGATTTCAAACAGTCGGTGCCTCATTAAACAAGGGCCAATTGAAGAAATATTTTGCACATTTATTCCTGATAGAAAACTACACAATTCTATATAAAAATATCCTGGTGTTTTCAATCATACCAATGTTAAGACCAAAGCGAACACAAAATTTGTAAATTTTCTTGAACTTACCTGAATTGCGTTATTGAAGGTGGTTTGCATTTCATGCTAGGAACCCTCTAATATCGTAACATTTGTGCAAATTGATTTCAATAATCATATCTCCGATATCTTAATTTTAATTGAGGAAAAATTCGGGTTTTATAATCGGCATATATCAGCGCGATGGTAAATTATGAACCATTTCAGTGAATTTATTATCTAAACGTTAAACAGAAAAATAACTTAATTTTTGAGGTCATCATGTCGGTTGCAGAAATACGAATATTCGGGTTAATCTGACGTGTCATGTTATAAAATTTGCAGGAAACAATTAATGACTTATAAATATTCACTAATCCTAATTTCAAGCGTTTTGGTTGAATATTTACGATATACAAAAATAAACAACCCGTGTCATGATGCTAGCAGACGTCCTAAAATCAAACATGGCGCGCTTCGCCCGACCTCCGCATAACTTATTGCTATTTTAATATCAACAAAGTTTACATTGCCTTTATAAATATAACTTGGCGAAAGTTGACGATCTTCTCAATCGAAGAATGTTTTATTCGTCATATTCCAATAAATATGACGAGAGAAAAATGAAAATAAAGATCGTGAATTCTGACAGTACTATTTCAATAAGTGCAAAGGTCACCGGATGTGATGTCACAGACAGGGGTAGTCAGTCTGCTGATAAGCTTTCGAAACAAAACAATTACAGTAAATTTTGAAATAGTTCGCCTATCACATACAGCAAAAATATAAGTCAATACACATTATCAGTAATCACCACTAACATGAAATAAAAATGTGACTTTGACGATATAATTCGCGTTTGACCTTGCTTCCCCCCGTGACCCGGAAACGGTAGACGATAAATCAACATGCCACATGCAAGTTTCTCGGTATCTTTTATTTGAACTTCTGTTGATATTTAAGAATCACCATTCAATGTTGTGAATATAAATGGGACATGATTCATATTTCTGCGTTGTACATGCTGATAAGTTGCACTACAACAAATGTATCCCACGTAATACGTCTATGGATATCGTCGATCAGCAAGATCACCCTCAACAACAGGTGCGCGAAAATGGGCTTGACAAAACGTGTTTCAAAATAACATCCCCGCGTTGCTGAATATGATAGGGTATATATAAGCAATAAAATTCTACGTACATATTTTCGGTGTTCCACATTACATTTAGGATAGTTTTCCTTTCGGGAATACATTCATAGATTCTAGCATGATTTTAGAACAGTTTCACGAAGGATTTCTAAATTTATTCCAAAAATATGAAGACCACCATGATTGCGCATTGATGATAGATTTGTAATTGTTTAATTATTTACAGCTGTTTACAGGTTTTAAAATTTTAAGTTATATTTAATAGCTATTTTTCCCACAATGATGGTGTGTGGGGACAATAAATATTAGTCTTTGCATCAGCACAGTGTAACTGATCAAACTTCAATTATTATCTTTAGTTTAAACATACTTATTCAACAATAATTATCTTGCACTCTGAAAATCAACTATGTGAATAAGTAACTCTCTGATGTCATCATTTTAATTTTAGTATTCCATGAATAATGAATAAATCAGATCCTTAACATATACATACTAAACTCATATGGACATTAATCTTGTGCATTATGTGGTTTGTTTCCAAATAAAACAATTCTGAAATATAATTTAATAGGAATAAATTTAATTTAATTACAGTAACAGTACATGACATTTTTGTTTGTTTAATCACAAGAACCATGGTGGCACATGAGCTGGTAAGTTTGCCATAGGTTTCTTAGAAAATGCTATCTCAGTCTTCTGGTTGGAATGAAAAGAAACATGCCTGTGTACATGTTTACCCTTGCCAGATGTATTTCTTCCAGTCAGCCAATCCATTACTTTTGTTCACCTTATGTTATACATACAGGTACTGCTTCCAACCTGTTCTTTCTTTGTATGCAATCACAGTATCACAACGTCCTCAGCTGGTGTGTATAAAAGTTCCCCTGTCATCATGAAAAAAGAATTATAAAGGAAAGTCATATTTTCATTCAAAAACATATCTGTCTTTCCTTGAATACTCTTTGTCTAAGTGCCAGATATGTCAGTGTCATAAAAAAATTAAAAACAGATTTTCATAAGGACTTTTCTTAGATAGACCTAGATCTAAGTCAAACCATGTGACTAGTTAGGTAGAATTATAACCTTATAAGCCCTAATTTCTGAGGTGTCCATATTTTAAACATTTTTAGGACTAAACGTGATCCGTGTAGATCTGCCTGTTTTGTTATGTAAAACAAATTCTTGTCTTAAAAAATGAGAAAAGGAATCATTCAGACGAATTTTTTTTATCCCATTGATTCACGAAAATCAGTTGAAATGTACAGTGGTGACTTTTGTACCCAACATTTCTAGTAATTTTTTACCCAAATGGGTATGTGATTTTGTTGATCTACCTAGAATTATTTCAAAGATATACATTAATTTGGTGTCTTAAACTTAACATCATATCACTTTCCTATCAAAACAATTCATTCTAACTTAGGTTTAACCAACTTAACTGGCCTCTCCTTCAGTGACAAGACGTCAATTTTCTCTCAAAACTAAACAATCAATTTCAAGGATCACAGTCATAATCATATTTGGAACTTGATGAAATATTTTATTATGTGTTCTGTTCATCTAACATAAATATAATTATAGATCTATTGTCTTATTTTCTTAGGTACAAATTCACAAAGTATTTTGGGTACAATTTAATTTGTTTTGGGTACAAAATCACACATATATATAAATAGGAGCCTAGAATCTATATATATTTACACTACCTCGTTGTGTACCAAAATGTTATCGGTTCAGAGGACGGGAGGTGCTCAGAAAGTTTTCAACAACATCGTTAATATTTAAATTGTTCTTTTTGTAATGTTAGACCAATAACAATATTATGTTATTATTATGGCATATCAATACGTTGTATCGCTCTCCGTTGCGTTCGTTTATAGAAAATATTTTAAAATTAAAATCATCGAGCGTGAAATCCATTACGGTTTCGGATTTACACTTACACATTTGATGGCGACAATCACGAAGAAATATGAAACAAATAAGAGTGAAGACTGCTCTCCAGATCAATAAATAGTAAAGAGTTGACGAAAAATAGTAAATTATGTATTTTCTTTTGAATTTGAATCTATTTCGGAATTTCTTTATGATAGCTTACCAACTTTTGCATATTTTGCTTCCATGTGTCACATGCGGTACGTGCTTCCGGTTTCAGAAATGATAGCTAAAATTGCAAGTATTTTGATTATTTCTCGTAAAATGCATTATTTTGCTATTGAATGGTTTACCTAGAATGTATATCAGTTCAGATTTTGCGTATCATCCAATATTTGTCATTTTTCGCAGTGTTTGTTGACTTTGTTCAACTCAACAAATCGCGAGTTAGGCCACGCCCAAACGTATCACTGACGTTTGTCGGCTTGTCAGTGTGTCGGAAAGTTTATCAAACGAAATCATTTGCAAACTCTTAAAAAATGAAATTCTTTTTACAAAGATTTATACATACGTGTCAATAATTCTAGAAAATTAAGTTAGATGTAACAAAATGATTGTAATAGTCTAACGGGATAACTATGCATGTGGAGTTGTTTGTTTACCGCCGTTGCCATGATCGTACAAGTTCCATCCAATCGATGATGTTACGATTCAGATTGTTTTTGTTTACAATTAGTTACACCGAAAGTTGCTAATTTTTAGAAATAAAGGAACATGAGTGTTTTCCTTTCGTCAGCAAACAAAAAATTATGATCGAATAGGAAAAATGATGAAATTATAAAGAAAATATCGGACTGCATGCCGCTCAACGTGAAGTGCCAAAAGTCAACAATGGCCGTTCCTGGTAGTTGTGTGCCGAGAAGTTTGGCCGAAACTTTTTTAACTCGCGATATTTTCTTTTTGAGGTAAATAAA